TATATTTGATATAAATGTGTTAACAAAAAAAAAAACTTTAATGATCTGGAACATATATTTATAAAATAGAAAGAAAACGAAAAGATTTACTATATAAACTAACAAATATTTAAAACAAAAACTTGTATTATAAACAAATTAAATCTTCATTCTAAATATTCAAATATATACAGTTTTCTGATGTCAGACTCATTTTTTCTTTTTTTTAAAACTTTATTTGAGTTTCCTTGGAAAACATCCATAAAGTAATTATCGCTCTGTTAGCAACGGGTGTTTGCGCATGCTCAGATATTATGATCACCAAGGGGGCGTTGATGAAAATGGCCTCTCTTGATACGAACATTAAAATAAAGATTGAATAACATAACATATTCTAATCATAATCTCTTAAATAACCATAAGTTTGGGCATGTAAACAAAACTTTTTAATTTGAAATAAAAATTATTGAAAAAAAGACTTTATGATTTGTTCATAATATTCTTTAGAATAAACCAATCTATAACTTTATAAAAATTCTTTTTTCGACCGTCATTTTACCAACGAATTAACATAGACATACAACTTTGATTTCACACCTTTTTACTACAAAAATGTTCAGTATTAAATAATCTTGATTTTTATATTTTATGTTTATATAATTTATATATATATATATATAATTTAAAATATTTTAAAAAATTTATGAAAATATATCTTATAATTATATATATATATATATATATATATATATATATTTATATATCAAATGATAAATATATTATATTCTTTATATATATATTTTAAAAGTTTTATTTTAAATATATATATATATATATATATATATATATATATATATATATATATATATATAAATCTGTAAAAATATATATAATTATATATATAGTATATATGAATCATAAATAAATAAATATATATATATATTTATATATATATATATATATATATAAATAAACAATATATATATATATATTTTTCAAATAAACTAATATAACCAGTGGTAATTTAAAATTATATAATATTTATTTATATAAATATATATAAATATATATATTTTACTTTATATATATAAATATATATAAATATATTTATATATATATATTTATATATAAATTGATATATATACATAATTTATATATATATATATATATATATAATATATATATATATATATAAAATAAAATTAATTGTTAAAAAATTTAAAAATAAATTGAAAAAATACAAGTAGATCAAGAATGATATTTATTTTTTGTCATTTTTTAAAATAACATATTTTTACAAATTTTATTTTTCGAATATATATATATATATATATATATATATATATATATATATAAAAAATAATAATAATATAAAATAATAATTTCATTAAAAAAATTTAAGATATACTTAATATATAAATTTTTCCATTGGAATAAAATGATCAATTCATTTATTATTCAAAGATATTTAGAATTTTTTGAATTTGTAGGTTTGATGAATTAGATATTTATTTCGTTTAAATTGAATAAATAAATATAGCTATGTCACATTTATATCATTTTTTATATATATATATATATATATATATATACACATAAAAATATATATATATATATGCATATATTTATATATTTCATATATATATATATATATATATATATATATATATATATTCAAACAATAACAAAAAATAACCAAAAAGAAATGACATCAACTATGAAAATGGACACTTTGCTTATAATTTAGTTGATTTATAAAATCCATAAGACATTTAAATTTATTCATAATTTAAAAAAGAAAATACGAATAGAAATTTTAAAATAAATTAATTTATTTAATTGGTAAATATATATATATATATATATATATATATATATATATATATATATATATATATATATATAAATATAAATATAATATATATATAGTTTGTGTGTTTTAATCAAAGGAAATTTAGACATTTTTATTTAAAAAAGTCGTTTTTATATACAAGAATACTGGACATTGGGTTCTACCTGGATTCTATCCTCTTGGAAATTTTTTATACAAAATATATATGTATGTGTATGCATATATGTATATATATTTATATATTTTGCATATGTATGTGTATATTTACCACTAATATTAGCTCTATATATATATATATATATATATATATATATATATATATATATATATATATATAATTAAAATAAATGTATCAATAATCTACTTTCATATTACATTTTATTAAACGTCAGATAATATATAAATTTGATTTATATTTTTTTAAAAAAAAATATAAAAATTATAATTTTAGATTTTTCGGACACATAAAATTATATAAATAAAATATATAAAATTGTTCATTATACACATTCTGAAGTTAATATATTTCAACCTTGAAAATGGCTAATGTATAGCTGAAAGCGCTCGGAAAGAAAGAACAATTGGACATTATTACATAATTTTTCTTCGCGTATAGTGTCCTTTTATAGGCTCAGTAAATAGAAATAGCTCTCTCAAAGAGGAGATTAACAAAACAATTACTCATGGTTATTCATAATATCATTATTAAGTTGGTCAAAAGCAAAATATCTATTTCTATTTTAACAAGTCTATTTCAGAATATGAGTCGAGATAATAGGTTAATTTTGGTTCTGCGACGACTTACAATTGAACCCTATTTCTTCGCTTGTTTGCAACTGACAATCACCTACGTTTTTTTTTATATATCATCTCCATTTGAATCATCCACGTTGTTTGTAAATGAGACAACTACACGAACAGAAGAGTCAGGTATGACAAGCGAAAAATGGTTTCGTTAATCGTTAATGGCCCTGTTTTGACAAACAAGTTCCATGAAAAAAAAAATAAAAAAGAAACGAAACAAAACAGTGTATCAAAGTTTAAAAAATCAATAAGGTTGCATGGTGGATGAGTTTTAAAAGATCACTGAGGCCTTGTTGAACCAGGTACAATTCTCTTCACGGGCTATCAGTAAAAGACCTGAAACTATTGAATTCGCACTTCTTTGACTGGGAAGACGCAAAGTCGTTCGTATTTTCGATATCAGACGATCTTCTTAAAAAACAATTCAATAGTAAATCCCAATAATTTTCTATATCGGTAGAGATATAGCTTTTATTTTACATTCATGGCTAAAAATATTAATCAATATTCAATATTAAAAAAATCACAGAGAGAGAATAGGTATCTCTACCTTCATTCCTGACCACTAACAATCCCTATTTCCTGATTTTCATTAGCAACCCATTTATATTATATATATAATAGCCCTATTCTATTAGTAATGCTTGCATTCATTCCTGACCACTGACAATCCCTTCCTTCCAGATGCTCAATGTATTTTTATAAAAAATATCATTATGAAGCAATTTACATATATAACAATCACTATTGCTTATATTAATTACAAAGTCACTAATGCTTATATTAATAACAAAAAATGTTTTATTAAACATGCATATATATATATATATATATATATATATATATATATATATATATATATTATAAATCTCGCTCTCCCGTCGAATTCGACGTATGAGGGTTAAACAGATCAGTTCGAGAAACCGATAGCCCGACAACAGCACATGAGAATTGATTATAGTGGTGAAGGTTTCGTGCAGGACCATCCACATTTTTTTGAAGGGCCGAATACAGAGACCTGGTGCACTACGTACCAACATTTTTCCCAAACGACCCTCCGCAGGTTTTGAATTCAGAGTTTTCCTTCTCCTAGACCAGTTGCCATTCAAGGCTATAGAACCCAGTCTTCCCTGCTATTTACCCATAGGTGGACGGAGAAGTATTAAATGCTATTTTATTTTTGTTGGGTTTTATGGTCTTTGATGAGAATCGCTTCCAGAATTTGTAGTCGTCTTTTGCAGTTGTTTTTTATGGAGTACTTTGGTGTTGTTGATTAAAATTTTTCTTATGTCACATGATTTGAATGGGTATTGTTACAAGATGTATTTTTATGGTGCTTGTGTCATTAAGGTGGTATGTGAGCCTACGTGAGAGAGTTGTTGTTGTGTGTCCAATGTATGTGTTAGGGGCAAGAGAGACAGGGGAAACCAACCCGTCACATACTTTATGGGCTTGAGCAAATCGATAGGAGAAATAACAAAAGGACAAAACTTATTTACATTATTCGGACTGTTATTCTCATCTTCATTGCCATATTCATAACCTTTCGATTGTACGCTCTGGCCTTCTTCAGGTGATTGGAATTACAAACCGAACCCTTTATCTCGTCCACCGGTGTAGACTGTTCTGTTTTCGACATGCCCTGCATCTTCCGGATGTCTCAGTTATGTCCCTTTATATCAAATCGCCATTTTTTTTTGTTTCACCACTGCTGTGGCCTGGTATTGAACTCGCAACTCTTTGGGTCTAGACACTGGATCTAACCAACTTTTTTTTATCCCCTGGGCCATATGTCTTTGAGGATAAAGGGTTTGGTTCGAAATTCGAATCACCTGACGATGGCTGGAGCGTACAACGACCAAAACGTTCTGAATATAACGATGAAGATGAAGATAACAGTCCGAATTATGTAAATAATTATAAATAATCATAATACCTCATCTCCGAGATATAGACATATATTGAAGACGAAACTTATTAAGAGCTACAAGGGATAGGAGAATGTGGAGGGCTATGATCGTCTAGGACTTGAAGGCATAAAAAAGAAGAACGTACTTGCAGAAACCCTAATTGATAAGTTTTGAAACAATACAACGTGAAATCTATTTCTCCTACTGTCAATTTCTTATCATTTGCAAGCACCTGTATGTGAAACTGCGTGTCTGCTTTGTTATTGACTTCAAGTTTAGTAAATAAAAATAGATTTTGGACGATAAAAAACAGTTTTAAAATGCCGAGCGGCGGTAAATAATGTCTTGTGTTGGGTTCAAAGGCGGATTGAATGAACGCCAGGGGCATGCGTACTAAAGTGAGATAAAAGAGAAGTTGAAAGAGTTCGAAAGAGGGAGAGGTTAATAAGAGGCAACTAAAAGTGGCGGGGGTGGAGAAAGCATGGAAGTGAAGGAAAAGAAGGGGAGGCATCAGAAAAGAAAGAAAGAAAGAAAGAAAGAAAGAAAGAAAAAAAGGAAAGACACAAAGATAGAAAGAAAGAAAGAGCGAAAAGAAAGACAAACAGAAAGAAAGAAAACACTAAAGAAAGACAGAAAGAGAGAAAGAAAGAGAGAGTGAAAGAAAGAAAGAAAGAGAAAAAGAAAGACAAATAACTAAAGAAGGAAAGAAAGAGAGAAAGAGAGAAATGACTAAAGAAAGAAAGACAAACAGAAAGAAAGAATTAAAGAAAAACAGAAAGAAAGACAGAAAGCGAGAAAGAAATAAAGAAAGAAAGAATGAAAGAAAGAAAAAAGAAAGACAGAAAGAAAAAAAGAAAGAAAGAGCGAAAAGAAAACAACAGAAAGAAAAAAAAAAAAAAGAAAGAAGAAGAAAGAAAGAAAGAAAGAAAGAATTTTCTTCCTTTTCTTAAAAGAAAGAAAAAGAAAGAAAGAAAGAAAGAGAGAAATAACTAAAGAAAGAAAGGATTAAAGATAGACAAAAAGAAATAAAGAATGAACTAAAAAAGATACAGACAGAAGTTAAAGAAAAAAGAATAGAAAAAGAAAGAAAATAAAAAAAGAAAAAACAAAGAGTGAAAAGAATTAAGAGAGAGAGAGAGAGAAATAACTAAAGAAAGACAGAAATAAAGAGAGAGAGAGAGAGAGAAATAACTAAAGAAAGACAGAAATAAATAAGGAAGGAAAGAAAGAAACAGAGAGAGAGAAAGAAAGAAACAAAAGAAAGTCAGAAAGAGAGAAAGAAAAAGAAAGAAAGAGAGGGAGAAAGAATTAGACAGGAAGAACGAAAGAAGGAAAGAAAGAGAGAGAGAGAGAAATAACAAAAGAAAGCAAGAAAGGAAGAAAGAAAGAAAGAAAGGATGAAAGACAGAGATAAAGAAAGAAAGAAAGAAAGAAAGAACTAAATAAAGAAAAAAACTAAAGAAAGACAGAAAGAAAGAAGAAAAAAGGCGAAAAAAAATAAGAAAAGTCGAAAGAAAGAAAGAAAGAAAGGAAGAAGGAATAAAAAGCGCGAACGAAAAACGAGAGAATAAAACAAAAGAAAAAAAGTAAAAACAAAAGAAAGAATGAACGGAATAAAAGACAAAAGAAAGACAGAAAGAATTAAGGAAAAAAACGAAGGAAAAAACGAAAGAAAGAAAAATAGGAATGAAAAACACGAATGAAAAAAAAAAACAAGGACAAAATGAAAGACAGTGAAAGAAAAGTTGAAAGAAAGAAAAAAATCGAAGAAAGACAGGGAAGAAAGAAAGAGACAAAGAACTAAAATGAAAGCAGGAAATATAGAAAGAATGAAAGACAAAATGAAAGAAGGAAAAAAGAAAGTCAAGTGCATTGAGCAGATGAAAAAAAAAATGATTGGCTTAAAAAAACAATGTTATAATTCGATATAAAACCCGGAAAAATATTCATAGATCGATTGCGAGGCAAAGATTGATTAAATGATTCATTTTTTACGGTTTATCAACCCTTTGTCGGTTATTTAAAGCCGGAAAATATTTTTAGATTGTAAGAATTTTTTATGGTTGATAGACAGAAGGAAGGAAGGAAGGAAGGAAGGAAGGAAAGCTTGATAGATAGATAGATAGATAGATAGATAATGAAAATGAGATAGATGAAGAGACTGAATGATAGATAGATAGATAGATAGATAGATAGATAGATAGATAGATAGATAGATAGATAGATGAAAAGACTGAAGGTAGATAGGAATGAAAAGGATGAGATAGATAGATAGATAGATAGATAGATAGATAGATAGATAATGAACAGACTGAGATAGAAGAAAAATGAATAGAAAGATGATAATGAATAAATAATGGATAGAAAGATAGAAAGAAAATAGATGAAGAAAGACTGAGATAGAAAATGAAAGGATGAGATGGAAAGAAGATAGATAGATAAGAAAACTTAATAGATAAATAAAGAAGAAAAGATGAGAAAGATAGATAAATAGAAAGATAAATAGATAGATAGATGAATAATTAAAAGATAGATAAATGAAGATTTGAAGATAGATAGATAGATAAGAATAGATAGATAGATATAGATAGATAAATAATGAACAGACTGAGAAAAGATAAAATTAAAGAAATTTGAGATAAATAGATAAATAGATAGATGGATAGATAGATAGATAAATAAATAAAAAGTGTAGAAGATTGATATGAAAGAAAGTAGAAAGATGAATAGAAGATAGATAGATAGATAGATAGATAGATAGATAGATAGAAATTTGAACAGACTGAGATAGAGGAAGAGACTAGATAGATAGATAGATAGATAGATAGATAGATAGATAGATAGATAGATAGATAGAAAATAATAAGCAGACTGGGGTAGAAGATATGAAAGGAATAGATAGATAGATAGATAGATAGATAGATAGATAGATAGATAGATGAAAAGATGAAGATAGATGAAATGAGATGAGGATAGATAGATAGAAGAAATTTTGATAGATAGAAAATAGATGGGATAGATAAATAGAAGATAGATAGAGAAAGATTTTGGATGAGATAGAATAGATAGATGATAGATAGATAAAATAAATGAACGGACAGAACAGACTAAAAAAGAATAGATAGGTATGATAGAATATGAGATAGATAGATAGATAGATAGATAGATAGATAGATAGATAGATTAATAGAAAAATGAAACAGACTGAGATAGATAGATAAAGATATGAGATAGATAAAGATAGATAGATAGATAGATAGATAATGAACAGACTAGAGATAGATGAATGAAGAGGCTAAGATAGATAGATTTAGAAAAATAGATAGATAGATAGATAGATAGATAATGAACAGACTAGATAGATAGATAGATAGATAGATAGATAGAATAGATAGAAGATAGATAATGAACAGACTGAGATAGATGGATATGAAATGTTTAGATAAGATAGAAGATAGATAGATAGATAGATTTTTAATGAACAGATAGATAGTGAGATAGATATGAAGACTGAAAAGATAGATAGAAAGATAGATAGATTTTGAACAGAATGAGATAGATGAACATGAAGAGAAAGAAAGATAGATAGAAGAATAGATGGATAGATAGATAGATAGATAGAAAAAAGATAGAATGAAAAGATTTTTGAATAGATAGGTATGAAGAGGCAAGATAGATAGATAGATAAGAAAGATAATGAACAGATATAAATAGAATAGATAGATAAAATGAAAATCGTGAGATAGATAGATAAAATAGATAGATAGATAAAATAGAAAGATAGATAGATAGATAAAGAAACGGACTGAAATAGATGGGTAAGGATCGTCTTCTTTGGATTTTTAGATAGATAGAAGAAACTTAGATAGATAGATAATGAAAAGACTGAGTTTTTAGATGGTTTTTGAATAGATAGATAGATAGATAATGAATAGATAGATGAGATCTTTGAAAAAAAAGAAAACCAAAAATACATGAATTTTATTGAGATAGATAATTTTTAGATAGATAATAGAATAATTTAAAGAAATTTTTATGCTTCATACACAAATAATAAACCAAAGAGCATCAAATCAATTCTTTCAATTTTTCCAAAACATTCCAATAAAACATTTCACAAACAAAAAATTTGTAACATTCCTTTTAATTACGTCAAAACGAAGTAGATGCTAGTTTAAATAACGCCAACAATATTTTTCCTTTGTTAGCATTATTCCAGAGAAAACAACTTCGTGTGTGTGTGTTTGTGTGTGTGTTACCATCTTGGTTTAAATAATAAAAACGCAGAGAATTCAGATATTAGAAGGGCGACCTTACATAGACTGAAACTACATTCCAGGTTTAGGTGACAAGCAAAAAGAAAAAAAATTCTCCTGATCCTGTAAGAATTCAAATATAGAACATAGATACAGGGAGAAATATTTTATTATTTTCAATGCCTTCCGAAATGTTTTTTTAAATAATTTAAATTTTTGTTGATTTCTGTCTTGCGACAAAAAAATAATTTTTTAAAATCCTTTTTTCAAATCGTCCTGGGTAAACGTTTAATACATCCGCGTCCTTTTTAAGACGTTAAAATCATCCGCGTCCTGAGTAAGACGTTAAAAAACAAAACCGTCCCAATTAAGACAAATTTTACATCCGCGTCCATTAATTAAGAGGTTAAAAATACATCCGCGTCCTGGGTAAGACGTTAAACTAAATCCGCGTTTGAGTAAGACGTTAAAATACATTCGCGTCCTGGCTAATCGTTAAACTAAATCCGCGTCCTGGGTTAAACTATTTCCAGAAGCAAGAATGCTAAAAATAAAACCAAGGTTTTGAGGAAAGAAAATGGAACCACTATTCTTAATGTTTAAATTTACAGGTCCACCCTGAAATGGGTATAAAGCACCTGTTAGGGGTCCCAGCTATGGGCAAATAGTTAACAATTACCAGCAATACTATTTTGAAAAAAATTATTAAAAATGAATACAATTTTGAAGGAAATTTATTACGTAAAACAAAAGAAACAGATTTTGACAAAAAACAAAATATTACCAGCAATAAAAATTTTGTCGGCATTAAATAACCCATTGAGGTTGATATGCCGTAAAAACAAAATAAACCAAACCAATCTAAACCAAAGAATACATATTCTATTCATACGAATCTATCCTAAAAATGTTGTCGGCATTAAATAACCCATTGAGGTTGATATGCCGTAAAACAAAATAAACCAAACCAATCTAAACCAAAGAATACATATTCTATTCATACGAATCTATCCTAAAAATGTTGTCGGCATTAAATAACCCATTGAGGTTGATATGCCGTAAAAAAAATAAAACAAACCAATCTAAACCAAAGAATACATATTCTATTCATACGAATCTATCCTAAAAATGTTGTCGACATTAAATAACCCATTGAGGTTTATATGCCGTAAAACATAATAAACCAAACCAATCTAAACCAAAGAATACATATTCTATTCATACGAATCTATCCTAAAAATGTTGTCGGCATTAAATAACCCATTGAGGTTGATATGCCGTAAAACAAAATAAACCAAACCAATCTAAACCAAAGAATACATATTCTATTCATACGAATCTATCCTAAAAATGTTGTCGGCATTAAATAACCCATTGAGGTTGATATGCCGTAAAACAAAATAAACCAAACCAATCTAAACCAAAAGAATACATATTCTATTCATACGAATCTATCCTAAAAATGTTGTCGGCATTAAATAACCCATTGAGGTTGATATGCCGTAAAACAAAATAAAACAAACCAATCTAAACCAAAGAATACATATTCTATTCATACGAATCTATCCTAAAAATGTTGTCGGCATTAAATAACCCATTGAGGTTGATATGCCGTAAAACAAAATAAACCAAACCAATCTAAACCAAAGAATACATATTCTATTCATACGAATCTATCCTAAAAATGTTGTCGGCATTAAATAACCCATTGAGGTTTGATATGCCGTAAAACAAAATAAACCAAACCAATCTAAACCAAAGAATACATATTCTATTCATACGAATCTATCCTAAAAATGTTGTCGGCATTAAATAACCCATTGAGGTTGATATGCCGTAAAACAAAAAATAAACCAAACCAATCTAAACCAAAGAATACATATTCTATTCATACGAATCTATCCTAAAAATGTTGTCGGCATTAAATAACCCATTGAGGTTGATATGCCGTAAAACAAAAATAAACCAAACCAATCTAAACCAAAGAATACATATTCTATTCATACGAATCTATCCTAAAAATGTTGTCGGCATTAAATAACCCATTGAGGTTGATATGCCGTAAAACAAAATAAACCAAACCAATCTAAACCAAAGAATACATATTCTATTCATACGAATCTATCCTAAAAAATGTTTGTCGGCATTAAATAACCCATTGAGGTTGATATGCCGTAAAAACAAAATAAACCAAACCAATCTAAACCAAAGAATACATATTCTATTCATACGAATCTATCCTAAAAATGTTGTCGGCATTAAATAACCCATTGAGGTTGATATGCCGTAAAACAAAATAAACCAAACCAATCTAAACCAAAAGAATACATATTCTATTCATACGAATCTATCCTAAAAAAATGTTGTCGGCATTAAATAACCCATTGAGGTTGATATGCCGTAAAACAAAAATAAACCAAACCAATCTAAACCAAAGAATACATATTCTATTCATACGAATCTATCCTAAAAAAAATGTTGTCGGCATTAAATAACCCATTGAGGTTGATATGCCGTAAAAACAAAAATAAACCAAACCAATCTAAACCAAAGAATACATATTCTATTCATACGAATCTATCCTAAAAATGTTGTCGGCATTAAATAACCCATTGAGGTTGATATGCCGTAAAACAAAATAAAACAAACCAATCTAAACCAAAGAATACATATTCTATTCATACGAATCTATCCTAAAAATGTTGTCGGCATTAAATAACCCATTGAGGTTGATATGCCGTAAAACAAAATAAACCAAACCAATCTAAACCAAAGAATACATATTCTATTCATACGAATTTATCCTAAAATGTTGTCGGCGTTAAATAACCCATTGAGGTTGATATGCCGTAAAACAAAATAAACCAAACCAATCTAAACCAAAGAATACATATTCTATTCATACGAATCTATCCTAAAAATGTTGTCGGCATTAAATAACCCATTGAGGTTGATATGCCGTAAAACAAAATAAACCAAACCAATCTAAACCAAAATGATACATATTCTATTCATACGAATCTGTCCTAAAAATTTTGTCGGCATTAAATAACCACTGAGGTTGATATGCCGTAAAACAAAATAAAACAAACCAATCTAAAGCAAAGAATACATATTCTATTCATACGAATCTATCCTAAAAATGTTGTCGGCATTAAATAACCCATTGAGGTTGATATGCCGAAAAAAAACAAAATAAACCAAACCAATCTAAACCAAAGAATACATATTCTATTCATACGAATCTATCCTAAAAATGTTGTCGGCATTAAATAACCCATTGAGGTTGATATGCCGTAAAAATAAAAATAAACCAAACCAATCTAAACCAAAGAAATACATATTCTATTCATACGAATCTATCCTAAAAATGTTGTCGGCATTAAATAACCCATTGAGGTTGATATGCCGTAAAACAAAATAAACCAAACCAATCTAAACCAAAGAATACATATTCTATTCATACGAATCTATCCTAAAAATGTTGTCGGCATTAAATAACCCATTGAGGTTGATATGCCGTAAAAACAAAATAAACCAAACCAATCTAAACCAAAGAATACATATTCTATTCATACGAATCTATCCTAAAAATGTTGTCGGCATTAAATAACCCATTGAGGTTGATATGCCGTAAAACAAAATAAACCAAACCAATCTAAACCAAAGAATACATATTCTATTCATACGAATCTATCCTAAAAATGTTGTCGGCATTAAATAACCCATTGAGGTTGATATGCCGTAAAAACAAAATAAACCAAACCAATCTAAACCAAAGAATACATATTCTATTCATACGAATCTATCCTAAAAAATGTTGTCGGCATTAAATAACCCATTGAGGTTGATATGCCGTAAAACAAAATAAACCAAACCAATCTAAACCAAAGAATACATATTCTATTCATACGAATCTATCCTAAAAATGTTGTCGGCATTAAATAACCCATTGAGGTTGATATGCCGTAAAACAAAATAAACCAAACCAATCTAAACCAAAGAATACATATTCTATTCATACGAATCTATCCTAAAAAAATGTTGTCGGCATTAAATAACCCATTGAGGTTGATATGCCGTAAAACAAAATAAACCAAACCAATCTAAACAAAAGAATACATATTCTATTCATACGAATCTATCCTAAAAATGTTGTCGGCATTAAATAACCCATTGAGGTTGATATGCCGTAAAACAAAATAAACCAAACCAATCTAAACCAAAGAATACATATTCTATTCATACGAATCTATCCTAAAAATGTTGTCGGCATTAAATAACCCATTGAGGTTGATATGCCGTAAAAACAAAATAAAACAAACCAATCTAAACCAAAGAATACATATTCTATTCATACGAATCTATCCTAAAAATGTTGTCGGCATTAAATAACCCATTGAGGTTGATATGCCGTAAAACAAAATAAACCAAACCAATCTAAACCAAAAGAATACATATTCTATTCATACGAATCTATCTAAAAATGTTGTCGGCATTAAATAACCCATTGAGGTTGATATGCCGTAAAACAAAATAAACCAAACCAATCTAAACCAAAGAATACATATTCTATTCATACGAATCTATCCTAAAAATGTTTTCGGCATTAAATAACCCATTGAGGTTGATATGCCGTAAAACAAAATAAACCAAACCAATCTAAACCAAAGAATACATATTCTATTCATACGAATCTATCCTAAAAATGTTGTCGGCA